TTCACTGCAGAAGCAACAGCTGCTGTTTTGAAGTTGTTCCTTAAAGCATGTGGATGAGAGGATAATCTTACAGAAGAACTTGAAGATTAAAATATCAAAGTGGGACACATTTCTCTTAGCCATCTCCTAGTTTCTCCTCTGCTTTTATCGCTGTTTTACACTGGAACTGTGGTTGTAAAGAGCAGAGATAGCACAGTTTTGAGTGATAGTCAGCTACACCGCAGTGTCCTTTGTTGTTCGGAACCCTGTCTTACATTGTATAATCTAAAACAGCAATAAAAATAGGGCAGCATCTAACCATAATTTAATGCATGTTTCGTGTCCTCCACAAGGTTTCAAGTTTAACTACAACATCTGCATTATCTACAACTACAGTCTGAAAGAACTACAACCCTGTTTTCTTTAGCCCATGGTATTTCCAGGAGTGATAGAGGTCATGAATCCTTCATGACTTGCAGAACTCTGGAAATTACTAGGACGCGATGAAGGGTTTGTCTTTTCAGGACTGCTTCCTGTACAGCTTTCACAGTACTTTTATAAAGTATACTGAACCAGTGGTTGAAGTAGAGAACAATGAGCCAGGACACCCTTCCCCCAATCTGAAACAAAACATAATGTCAGTAAAATATTTGCAGGAAACAAGCCTATGTATTAGTTTAATGCTTTTAAGCTTTACGTTTCTCAGACAGAAAGCAAAATTGGAAATAAATGGATGGGAAACAAGCTAATTTCTTTGTTTTTTGTTATCAGCAGTTTGTTATTTAAAACAGAATGGCAGGTAAATATAAAGTGTAGAGATAGCCTGTGTGTTGGGTACATTTGCTGCTATTAACAGAAAATGCTTTCACAGAGCTAATGAATTTATTTTACTCATGAAAACCAGAGAGGAGCACCAAAGCGTGCATTTTGCTTAGGGCTCAACTTGGGGGTTAACACAGTCCTGAAAAACATGGCTTTTCATTAAAGAGTTCCTGAGCATTTGAAGTGTACGAGCCTGAATACAAGCTCAATGCATGACTTGACAAAGGACTGGAAAGGCTCCCGTGCTGGAAGTATGAACAGCAGTGGTGGAAAAGACTTTGTAGCGCCTCGAGCAGCATTAGGAGGAATCCTAGGGAGTCGGACGGAATAAACCAGCCACTGCATTACTGTTTCACAGCTGACTGCCTTGTCCTAAAGCTACAATCGCTCACGGCCCAGTAAGCAGAATCCTGCACTCTCTCAGCTCTTCGGGCAGAAGGAATCACATTAACAGGCTGTCTTAAGCAATGTCCATTATCTCAAAGAGGGACAGCCAGCTTGCTGTGTACTTCCTGGAAGTTCCATTACGAGGATCAGGTTGCTTAAGGCCTGAGGAAATAGTCAAGCTGGAACTCCAATTTATTTTTTAGTTCTACTTCACAGATCCTGTCATTAAAACATAATGAAGATGCCCACATCACATGGGCCTCTATCTTTCTGCGTACAGGGAGTATCTTCATTGCTTTTGCCCAGTAAAGGAGTCTAGTCAACACCTCAGCACTAAGGGCGAGTTTTCATCAAGTTATTAAGACCGTGAAGAGATTTCTGACACTGCTTTCTTAAACTTCAAACAGCAGGAGTGGTTCATGTGAGGGAGCACTGCTGAAACAGAGTGATATCTTTGTAGGAGCAAAAGGACAAAGTTGCAAAGTGTGCATAAATGCCATGTAGATTGTTTGGTGGATTGAGAAAACACTAACTGGAAGTTATCCAGAATCTTTTAAACTTGATTTTTTGTCAGATCTGGCTCATTAATTTAAAGGACATTCTCACATGAGGAGTCAAAATGGTTTCAAAAGGCACTAAATCAGTGTGATGGAGACATTGGTTGTCATTGCCCCTCTCTAATTGTATTTAAAATTCCCTAGAAAAGTCTTGCTTAGCATTTATGCGCTGCCTGGAGATCTGAGGTTTATTGTCATCGCTGACTGACTAGTGACTCTTTCTGAACTTTTCGATTTAATAGAGGAAGATTGGGAGTTTAACAAAATGCACCCCCCCTGGGAACAATATAATACCACCTGTATCATTGCAGAAGATCTCTGAAGTGATAAGAAGGCCTGAGGAATCAACAATCTCAGCATAAAAAAAGACCATCTGAGTGCAAGGGATAGGAGTGTCGGGGGGATAGTGGTGTAATTCCATGCAAAATCTGTTCGCTAGGTTTTACCATTGCATTTCATAATCCATCTTAAGGCAAAATTAATAAAATAAACA